CCCTGGCCGCGCCCGCCGCAACCCTAAAGCGGGGCTTTAGCAGCTCCCCAAAGGGAAGCAACGTTACAGGGGCGATGGGGTGGCCGCGTCCCGTAGGCAGCTCACAGGTAAACGAGGGGAACCGGGCCCTCAGCTGCGGGGGCCCAGAGTTTCAGTCTTAAATTGTGAATTTCATGATAATGAAGGAAAAATCACACTGAGAGGTCTCACTGCAAGGGAATTCAGGGAACTCAGTCTGGACTAGTCTGGAGAACCTGCCGCGCCGCGGCGTCGTGTGGGAGACGGGGGCGGGGTGCTCCACCCAGACCCCTGCACCCCGGCTCTGCGCCGCCCGAGCGGGGCCACTGCGGCCTGTTCCTGTAGCAGCCGTGGCTTCACCCCAGTATCTCCTCACACCGTGTGGGGGGGAGAAAGCGGCCACAGGGCGCACCCCAGAGCGCACCGCGTGGGCTCCCCGTGCTGCCGGCATGCGGCTGCTGTCACAGCGGCTAGTCCGGCAAACGAGGTGACCGCCAGGACCACCGCTACAGCACCAGGAGATGCTCAGAGCCCTGCTGTCGTGACACCCCGTCTAGAAATCTCAAGCGAGGAAATCGGGAGTGAAGAGTCTGCTGACGGGTTAATAAAGTGGCGGTAACGGAAGCATCACAGTTAAAATAGGGCGGGCTCACCTGGGGGCAGGCTCACCTGGGGCGGGCTCACCTGGGGGCAGGCTCACCTGGGGCGGGCTCACCTGGGGGCAGGCTCACCTGGGGCGGGCTCACCTGGGGGCAGGCTCACCTGGGGCGGGCTCACCTGGGGGCAGGCTCACCTGGGGCGGGCTCACCTGGGGGCAGGCTCACCTGGGGCGGGCTCACCTGGGGCCGGGCTCACCTGGGGCCGAGCTCTTCTGGGGCCGAGCTCTCCTGGGGTGGTCTCACCTGGGGCGGCCTCACCTGGGGCGGCCTCACCTGGGGCGGCCTCACCTGGGGCGGGCTCACCTGGGGCGGGCTCCCCTGTGCCTGGGAGCTTACGCTCTCTCTTCCCCAACCCGCCCAGGTTTTCTATTTGAACAGGAATGATTTTTAAGTAAAATGTTATCTCCCAAGACGCTTCCCAGGTCTCTGCTGGGAACCTGACCAGTGCCACGCAGGAAGAGGATTACTTGCGGGTCTAATCCCTCACGTGGCCACTTACGCAAGCGGGGTCCCCTTCACACGCGCACCCTACACGAGCACCGTCTGGTCTGGGGCGGCCGCCGTGCCGGGCTCGGGCCTGCACCCTGCCCACACTGGACGGGGCTCCGGCCCCCAGCGCAGCTGCGCCCGCCCGCCCTCAGACGCGGAGTTGGCTTTCCGCTGACGCCCACGCGGGACACCCGCGCCACACAGACGCCGGCGGCTTCTGGGCCCCGCGCCGCCCTGCACCCCGAGAGAAGACTGAGGCGCCTACTGGTCCAGGACGCCCTGTGAGGCCAGCGCCTGGCTGGGCTCCAGCGGCCGCCCGTTGACCGCCAGCTCCATGACGCAGCCCACGAAGTCGTGGCTCTCCACCTGCCCCCTCCGCTGCAGGAGGGGCTCCAGCGACCGCACGCCCCCCACGGACACCGGGTTGGGCTGCACGTCCAGCGTCCTGCGGGAGAGAGGCCGTGAGCGCAGCGGCTTTGGGCCGCGCTGGTCGCCGCCCCCGGCCCGGGCAGCCCGCCGCTCACCAGTCGTCTGAGAGCGCCGCGTTGCTGACCGTGCAGAAGCCGGGCTCCTGGGCCTCAGAGCAGGAGTCCACGGTGAGCGAGGCGGCCTGCGGGCAGAGGGCGGGCAGCGGGCGGTCAGGTGGGGCCCGCGGAGGCCAGACGCTGCGTGTCTGGGACCCGTCGTGCCCAGAGCGCCCGGCCCGGGCCCTCCCCCACGGGGCTCCTGCCCACGCAGGCCCAGACGCGCCCCCACACTGGCCTCAGTGCCTGCTGTCCCACCTCCCCGGAGCCCCGAGGCGCGGCCCAACACATGGCCAGCGGCGAGCCTGGGCTGATGCAAACGGCAGTGGGGGGCCAAAGCGCAGAGCACCCGCCCCTGGCTCGGGGCTTTGCTGCCGCAGAGGGGAGCCGCCCCCTGCTCCGCCGGGGCGCAAAGCCCAGCAGCTGGTGACTTCGCCGCTTCCCAGCCAGACCCTCCGGGCTGCCGAAAGCCTCGACCCGGTGCCCCCTGCGGGGCCTGAGCCTCCGGACGAGCTGGGACAGGGCCTGCCGCTGGGGGCCGTGACGCGGCTCCTCTGCCCGCCCCTCTGGCTCCCTCGAGCATCACTCCCGGAGACGCTAAGGGGCCGGTGGCAGGGCGCGCCCCGCCCCCCGCCCCCCCCAGACCCGCGCCGGGACCCTCCCAGAGCTGAGCCAGCCTGGCGGCGAAAGGCCACTGCAGGGCCTGCAGACGCCCTGGCCAGCCCCCTGGAGGGGCTGCCGCTCTAGGGATGGCCACAGCTGGGGTCTACTGAGAGGAGCCGCCCCCCAACTCTGCCTTGAAGCGGTAAGCACAGCTACGCGCAGGACTGCGGGGTCAAGCGTCCACTACTGCAAATGGTCCGCGCGGCTCACGCTGCTCCCGGAGTGAAACTGGGAACGCGCAGACGCCACCCCCGCCGGGCAGGGCGAAGGGGCCTCAGCAGCTCGCCCGGGCCCCTCCCGCCACGAACGGCTGCAGGTTACAGCTGCGCTTGCGAGCCTGTTCTCGTTTTGGCCTCGTTTTCGGAATATGGGCGATTCTCTTATCAACTTGTAATACTACCTAGGGGTTCAGCATCTTGGAAATAACAGGGACCCGACATTAGTGCCCGGCACAGGGGGTGGTGGGCCTGGCCCCGCCCCCGCCCGGTCCCCAGCCCCGCCCCGTCG